AAGGGCTTGTTGGAGTAGAGTTTTGCACAGTTTGAGGTAAGTAACACTTCTAAACTTGGCTCTGAGGGTACGAAATCTCGAATTACATGTTATGTAATTCGTATTGAGGTGATGCACATCCTAGGTGACGAGCGTGTGGTCGTGCACCGTAAGAATTGTGACTTGGTCGATTCCATGGAACTGCATAGCTGAATAATCTTGTTGCTTCCCGCATTTTCACCATGTGTTAGAGCAATTGAGTTGTCAGTCATGTTAGAAATCCTATTTAGGCTCCCTGTTGGTACTGTTGGGAACCACAGAGGTAGTATTACATGTCGAATTATTTGCTTAATTTGTTACAATTGTACTCAGTCACAACTATTATTTGCATAATATATCTTAGTCTCGATTGTCTTTTATTTGATACATCATATCATCATTGTCTGGGCTGATTATCATGATTCTGGTGAGCTGAGAGACTGGAGAGATTAATGACTGAGTGAGATTGAAGGTATATTGTGAGTGCTATTCATGGGATCGGGCCGCACGCCGTGGCATGCTTTATTGATTCATGCCAGTATTTGACTTAATATAGCGCTTGAGCTGGATCGGCCCCTTCGGAGTCTGCACATCAACAGTGGGTGCAATGCTAGTAGTTATTTATATTTGGGCTGGATCTGCGTTGGTTTATTTGCATTTTAGGCTGGATCTGCCCTGTTCTGTGTTGAGTTTTATTGCAAAATCTACAAGCATGTCAAAATTCTTGTAGATTTTAAATTTCTGAGATATCACTGTTATATCTGTTGTAAGTTTCGGTACTGTTCATACTGCATGTGGAATGTGTTACTCAAACTCGTCGCTACTTTCAGTCCAAAGGTTAGATTTATTACTTATTGATTTGGTTGTACTCACACTATACCCTGCACTTCGTGTGCAGATACAGTGTTTTCGGTCACAGTGGGTGCTGATTATCTGAGCAGCTTAGTCATTCGAAGATTTCGAGGAAGCTGCCTGACGTCCGTAGACCTTGACTCTTCTATCACGACCCGAATTTCCCACCTTCGGGACCGTGATGGCGCCTATCATTGCACTCGCTAGGCAAGCCAACGTTACATAATATTTCACATTTTTTCTTTATCCTTTTTATAATTAAAATTTAACAAAACTAAATTAGTGAAAATAAAAGTGAAAGTACATAATTTAACTAATTACTCATATACTATTAACGAAAGCCGAAATAGATACCACCCAGAAATTGGTGTCACATCTCACGAACATTCTATGAATACTACAAGTAATGGTTTGAAAGAAAATACATTTGTCTCGAAGAAAGTAAAACAGAAATGAAGTAAAGATAGGAGGGGACACCAGGGCCTGCGGACGCCTGCAAGACTACCTTGGGTCTCCTGTCTGAAGTATCAACAATCGACCTCTCGATCAGCAACTACTAGCTCCGAAATATGCACAGAAAGTGTAGAGTACAGTATCAGTACAACCGTCCCCATGTACTGGTAAGTGTCGAGCCTAACCTCTACGAAGTAGTGACGAGGCTACGGCGGGGTATAAACAATATATCCTGCAATAGTTTATAATAGGGCAAAAAGAAAATATGGAATGAAATATGACAATAACTTGCATTAAGAAAATACGTAACCTTGTCGTTCTACTAATACACAGCTATAACCAATCCTTAAGGCAGTTTCAACACCAAAATAATGATTCTCAGCAGAAGAAGAATATATAAGCAGCAAATGATGCGGCGCGCATCCCGATCCCACTATATAATCAATAACAGTTTAAACATTCTCCCTTATTACTCCTTATTGCGGCGTGCAACCCGATCCCACTAGTCCACCCTTATTCCTCCTCAATATATCATCCTTATTCCTCCTGTTGCGGCGTGCAACCCGATCCCACATGTCCAACCTTATTACTCCTTGTTGCAGCGCGCAATCCGATCCCACCAGATAATCACAATTCACCCTTATTCCTCCTGTTGCTGAGTGCAACCCGATCCCAACATATCAGTACCAATCATAAAATAAGAACAAGTATTTCACAATTTAGCTCAACACCATCCACAATATTAATACCTCAAATCATAACAACAGGAGATCTATACCATTATGAAACTCCAACAGTTAATACTACACAGCGAGACCAACCAAGGTATACCATAAAACGTCAACAATCCTACATAAACTAACAATATGATATAATGAAACTACGGAACAATTAATACCTTCAATAGGGAAAGCAACATCTAACAAGAAGCAATTAGACATGGAAGCATCAATAAGCAAGTAGCAGTTAAGACAGGAAAGCAATATATAAGGAAACGGGGAAGGGAACAGGCTAAATAAATAATTTGGTGGCGTATAAGTATTCGTCACCACACCTATACGCCACACACATGGGATTTCACATAGCAAATAAGTCGGGGATCCCTAATCCCTCAAGTCAAAGTTAGATCAAATACTTACCTCAAGCCAACGGGTATTTCAAAGCTCAATTACCGCTTTACCTCTCGATTCCACCACCAATCTAGTCATAATTAACATAATAACATCAATAAACGCTAAAGAAATCAATTCCAATGTATAATTATAGGTTTTATAATATTTTCCCCAAAAAGGTCAAAACTCGACCCCGGGCCCGCTTGGCCCAAACTCAAAATTCGGACCAAAATCCGATTACCCATTCACCCCCAAGCCCGGATATACAATTGGTTTTGGAATCCGACCTCAATTTGAGGTCTAAATCCCCAAATTTTGAAATTCCTAAGTTCTACCCAAAAACACCCAATTCTCCCATGAAAAACCCTAGATTCTAGGATGAAATTTTGTAAAAAGATGAAATAGATCGAAAGAAATGAGTTAAGAATCATTTATCTATGATTTAGGGAAGAACTAGTCTTTGGAAAATCGCCTCTTGAATTTTAGGTTTTGAAAAATGGGAGAATGAATGAAAAACCTCGTCCAAAAATCGTTTTGAACAGTTGCAGGTATCAGATTTGCGATCACATGCTTGCAAATGCGAACTTCCAAATGTGAACTCGCAAATGCGGACTTTACTTCGCAAATGCGAAGATGGGCTTGGCTTGCTAGCTTCGCAAATGCGAACAAGTGTTCACAAATGTGGCCTACGTTCTCATCGCAATTGTGACGCTGAGCTTCGCAAATGCGAAGGTCCCCTTCCCAGCCTTTTGATCGCAAATGCGAAATAACTTCGCAAATGCGATGCTCGCATTTGCGAGCCAGACGCGAAGTCTGCAGACCCGAAGCACACCAGCAAAATTCCTTAAGTTCAAATCACTTTGTAGCCTATTGAAAACTCACCCGAGCCCTCGGGGCTCTAAACCAAACATGCACACAAGTCTAAAAATATCATACGGACTTGCTCGTGCGATCAAATTGCTACAATAACACTTAAAACTACTGATTTAGCATCAAAATCAATAAAATTTTTAAGATAGTTTCAAACTTCTATTTTCTCAACCAAAGGTCCGAATCACGTCAAATAAACTCCGTTTTACCAAATTTCATAGACATGATGTAATTGCCATATTAAACCTGTAACGGGCTCCGGAACCAAAATATGGGCCCGATACTAACGAGATCAAACATTTACTAATTTCTCAAAACCTTTGGAATTTCAGTTTAACAATTTTATCAAAAATTTATTTCTCGGTCTAGGGGACCTCAGAATTCGATTTCGGGCATACGCCCAGGTTCCATATTTTACTACGGACCCTACGGGACCGTCGGAACACGGATCCGGGTCTGTTTACCTAAAATGTTGACCTAAGTCAACTAAAACCAACTTTTAAAGGCAACATTATTATTTTTCAAATTTCCACGTAAAGACTTTTTGGAAACACGCCCGGACTGTGCACGCAAATTGATAAGAGATAAAATGAGGTTTTCAAGGCCTCGAAACACGGATTCGAGGTCTAAAACAAAAGATGACCTTTTGGGTCATCACATTCTCCACTTCTAAAACAACCGTTCGTCCTCGAACAAACATAGAAAAGTACCTCAGTCAGTGAAAATATGGGGATATCTGCTCCGCATATCGAACTCGGACTCCCAGGTAGTTGCCTCAACAGGCTGACCTCTTCACAGCACACGAACCAAAGGATAACTCTTCGATCTCAACTGACGAACCTGCCGGTCTAGAATAGCTACCGGCTCCTCCTCGTAGGTCAAATCCTTGTCCAACTGGACAGTGCTGAAATCTAACATGTGGGATGGATCGCCATGATGCTTCCGAAGCATGGACACATGAAACATTGGATGCACAGCTGATAAACCTGGAGGCAACACAAGTTTGTAAGCCACCTCTCCCACTCTATCTCAAAAGGCCCAATGAACCTAGGGCTTAGCTTGCCCTTCCTCCCAAATCTTATCACGCCCTTCATGGGCGACACTCGGAGCAACACTCTCTCTCCGACCATGAATGTCACATCACGAACCTTACGGTCGACATAACTCTTTTTCCTGGACTGAGCTGTACGAAGTCTATCCTGAATGATCTTAACTTTGTCTAAGGCATCCTGCACTTAGTCTGTACCCATTAACCGAGCCTCCCCCGGCTCAAACCACCCAATCGGTGGTCGACACCGTCTACCATACAACGCCTCATAGAGAGCCATCTGGATGCTCGACTGATAGCTGTTGTTGTAGGCAAACTCCGCTAACGGCAAGAACTGATCCCAAGAACCTCCAAAGTCAATAACACAGGCGCGGAGCATGTCCTCCAAAATCTGAATAGTACGCACGGACTAACCGTCCATTTGAGGATGAAATGTTATGCTCAACTCGACCCGCGTACCCAACTCATGCTGAACTGCCCTTTAGAAATGAGAGGTAAACTGCGTACCCCGGTCAGAAATGATAGACAAGAGCATGCTTCCCTTTTGAAACAATTTTAGGGGTTTACATGTCGGGCAAAATATGTTCTTCCTTTGCTTTGGATTTTCTCTACCCTTTCCTTTTGAACTGGAAAAGGGAGAAATCTCAGTGTTTTCCTTTTCCCTGACAGTTCAGGGACATGGGCTATTTGCCTCAGGCAATGGCGAATTATCTAGCTCTTTTGGGATGGGGTGATGGTACAGAAAATGAGTTTTTCACTCTTGAACAACTTGGTCAGTTGGTTGCCTCTATGCTGATGTTCACATAGCTAATTTTAGCTTGCATTCATTTCTATTTATTTGCCTTTCAAGTGTGATAGCTTCTCATCTCATTTGCAGTTGAAAAGTTCACAATTGAACGTGTAAACAAAAGTGGTGCCATTTTTGATTCGACCAAGTTAAGGTATTATATTTTCTTCTGCTATATAGATAGGATTTCTTGGTTTTACATTTCTTGATTCTTGTTTAAAATCTGAATATGAACTTCAGGTGGATGAATGGTCAGCATTTGAGATCTATACCATCTGAAGAGCTGAACCGAATTATTGGTGAAAGGTGGAAGGATGCAGGCATCACTACAGAATCACAAGGAATCTTTATACAGGTAGAACTTTTTCTCTTTTTTTCT